TATATATATGCCATAAAAAAGAATGAAATCTTGTCATTTGCAAGGATGTAGATAGAGCTAGAGTGTATTATGCTAAGGAAAGTAAGTCAGAGAAAGACAAATACTATATGATTTCACTCATAAGTGGTGGAATTTAAGAAACAAAACTGATAAACATAGAGGAACAAAACAGAGAGGCAAACCATAAAAAAGACTGTTAACTATAGAGAACAAACTGAGGGTTCCTGGAGGGGAGGAGGGCAGGGGGAGTGGTTAAATATGTGATGGGTATTAAGGAGGGCACTTTCTGTGTTGAGTACTGGGTGTTGTATGTAAGTGATGAATTACTAAATTCTACTCTCGAAATTAATATTACACTATATGTTAACTAACTGGAATTTAAATAAAAACTTGAAGTAAAAAAGAAGTGGATAAAATAATACAGCAAATGGATTTTTTTTTCAACACACAAAAAACATCATTAAGAAGTTTTGAAAACAAGCAGACAAAAAGAAGCAGCTTTGGTAAGTATCAGAACTACCAATGTATACCGCATATTTTAAAGTTGTATTGGTTTCTTATTTTATAGCAAATACAAATGCAGTGCCGACCTTAATATTTAGAGCCAAGGTTTTACTAGTTTCATCCCTCCAAAACATCAGTTGTCCTGGACTTGGAAGAAAGCAACCCCCACAAAAAATATTTTAATGCCCTTGTATTAAATCCAATCACTTCTCTTAGCTTTTTCAAGGAGGATTTCTTGGCCTCCTCTTTAATATAATTACTAAAAGTTTTGGCTATCTGGTTTTCTAAGAATCAATAGGATATAAAAAAAAAAAACTGTAAGCAGGAGAGGCTGCAATTCACACTGAGCATCGAGACACAAAAAGAAAAATAGGAACATAGAATTAACATAATGAATGTTCTTCATGATGATCATAAAGTCACCAAGAGGCTATTTTCTTTCAAAATTTGTATTTAAGATTGTAAGAAACAATGCAATACATTTTTAAAAGGACTTTATTCTCAGAGTTACAATTTAAAAGACTTTAACACTTGAAAAAAATAAAGTTCATGTACTTAGAACTTCCATCCCTCATGGCCCAATGAAATCAGATTCATGAGGAGTTAATAAAACAGAATTAGTCTATATTTCCAGTCTGGAGTGAAAAACAAAAAGAGCTTCATTGGCCAAGTTTCTAAGGACATATTTATCTAGGTCTGTAGCCCTCAGCCCCAGGAATTACTGTTGAAAATGCTGACAGACGGAAAGACTCAGTGTATTAAGATAATCAACTCTGCAAAAATAATTAGGAACATACTTCCAAGAATATGGGATAGTAGCCAAGTATAAAACAACAACACAAAAGATACCACCAAATAATAAGAGATCTTGTGTAATACTTAAATATTTCAAGGCTAAGAGGATCACTTCTAATAATAATATTCTCTGAATGAAATGGAGTTTTAAAATCAAAAGAAGTTTAATACAGTTGAGGAACACAGTTTGGTGACTAAGAAATAAGACTGCCAAGATGGGAGGAGGCTGGGTTACAATGGGCCTTATAAAATCATGTAAAGGAATTTGGACATTAGTCTAGGGACAATAGGAAGCAATTAAATGACTTTAAACAGAATAGCTATGACTCAACATGCATTGTAGAAAAAATATTGGCTACAGAGTAGAGGTTAGTTTGGGTGGGAGCAAGACGTTAGGAAGTAGGACCAACTAGAGGCTCTTTTTTTAATTTTTTTTAAATGTTTATTTATTATTGAGAGACAGAGAGAGACAGAGCATGAGCAGGGGAGGGGCAGAGAGAAGAGGAGACACAGAATCTGAAGCAGGCTCCAGGCTCTGAGCTGTCAGCACAGAGCCGGATGCGGGGCTTGAACTCATGAATAGTGAGATCATGACCTGAGCCAAAGTCAGACGCTTAACTGACTGAGCCACCCAGGTGCCCCAGACCAACTAGAGACTCTTACAGTAGTCCAAATGGAAGACAATATTGGGCTAAACTAGGGTGGTAGCAGAAAAGTTAGAGGAAAGTAAATGAATCCAAAGATGTGGGAGGTCGAAATTACATATCTTGATGAATAATTCAATATAGAAAGTGAAGGGTAGAAAAGTGGCAAAGATGATTCCAAGTTTCTGGCTTGAGCAATGGGGTGCATAGTAGTGTTATTGACTAAAATAAGGAAACTGGAAGAGGAGCATATCATGTTTGTTTGTTTGTTTGTTTGTTGCTTTGTTATTGTTAAGAGTGGGGGAGAGAGATGGAGATGATGAGACTACTTTGGACATACTTAGTTCAAGGAGTTTATGGAACAGCCAAGTGGACATGTCCAATAAATAAATATAGAGGTCTGACATTCAAGAGAAATTAGGAGTGACAATTAAGAGTCATAGGCATATGTAGAAGGTTATGATGTCATGGAGATAGATTAAATCACTCAGAGTCTGTATGGTAAGAACACCTAAAACAAAATAAAGAAAAACATCAACACATTAGTGATGAACAAAGGAAAAGAAGATTACCAAAAAGACTACAAAAGATCTTTATATCACAAAAGCTTTTAATACAGCTGTGTAATATTGTGGAAAATACTATAGAAAGCATAGCCATAAAAGTATGAAAAAAAATAGGTGTATTATTTACTGTTGGTACTATGTCCAGCCCTCTTTTACTGGACCAGTGAAACTGTCCCTCTGCTACTTCAAGTATTAACATTGGCTGAAGGAAATCACCTCACCTGAAAATACTGGGGAGGTTATGCCTTCCTCCAGGAAGCCCACGGGCAATAGCTGATTAAGAAGTGTCTACAAAAGTCCAGGCCCCTTGCCTGAATGTAGGCCAAATCTGTAGTGCCATTCATTCCCATGGGTCAAATGGAGGCTATACTTCAAATGAAATCACATCTTTCCTTTACTTTTTCCCCTTCCCGACCTTGCTTTCCTTGCTTCCTTACAAGTTTCTCTGAGCACACTCTCTATAAATTATATGCTTTTGAATCCTTGTCTCAGGCCCTGATTCTAGAGAACTTAATCTAAGAAACGGAAATTGTCTCTGAAGTAAAAGAAGGAATTATTCTTAAACCACTTATTTCTATTTTATGCATGTGTGTGTGTGTGTGTGTGTGTGTGTGTGTGTGTGTGTGTGTTATTTCACAAGAAAAGGGAGTTAAAGAGGGAGGGAAGAATCAACAAGTTTGAATGTTGCTACATGATACTAAAAAAAGTTACAATGTTGAATAATATAAGAACAGACAAATGTTCATTTTAGTAACAGAGCCAACATTGGCCACCTTAGTTGCAGATATTGCATTAGAGTCGTGGGGTTGGAAGTCAGAGTGCAGCAGTGGAAGAATGGATGGGAGGTGAATATGTAAAGGGTAAAAAAAACTACTTCTTCAAGAAGTACAACTGGAAAGAGGAGAAAGGATTTAAGGCACTATTTGGAGGGAGGATTTTAAAACTTAACATGGGAGATTCTTGATCACATTTAAATGCTAATGGGACATTAGCCAATGGGACAGAGCCAATAAAAAGGGACAAGATCTAACAGAGAAAAGAGACAACTGAATGCAAATGGTTGGAGAGAACTGCTCTTAAGATGTTACAGAGGGAATTTAAACACGGGCCAGAGAGTTGCTCAAAAAGACCTTTGAGATCTATTTCTACCTTGAGAGTCTGAGATGAAGATGTTTTTGAAGATGTTTTTTAAAATACAATGTAATGTCTTAGCATCAGGAACAGGAGTACCTAAGTTCATCTGAGAAAAAAATCAAAAGTTTTGGTCTAAGGCAAGAATTTATCACAGTTTTCTTTTGTTCTAGGAGTTAAACATTCTTACCCGCCAATATCCTGCTTCACAAAGTCCCCAGGTTCTTGTCGTCTTGATTCCCCTTGGCCAGTTGTTCCAGGAAAAGTATTAATCAGGAAAAGAAGCCCAAGGCTGCTTGTGTAGAAGTGACTCATTTGTGTAACTATCATCTTCTTAGGCACCAACTTGGAGAGACCTGTGAGATTCACGTTCAGGGAAAAGAGGAAGGAGAAGGGGTAGAAGACAAAAAAGAAACCGGGAAAAAATATTTTATTCAACTCTATTAGAGCCATTTAACTTCCCTAGTATCCAGTTACTAAATGATTACTGAGACAATTCCCTTTCCCCAGTTCATCAATGCCACCAAAATTTACTCCCAACATATTGCTTTCTTGAATATTCCAAAGTCCATTCAAGAAAGAGTAAAGAGCTCTAAATCAGTAATTTGGAGTCATAGGTTAGTTTCATCTCTTTCCCTGTCTTCTCTCAGCTGCAGTTACTTTTTTCATAATTCAAGAGTTTAAAATAATCCTCCATGTCTTCATTTTCCTCCAATGCCTTTGCCATAGTTAACAAAATGTGTAACATTGTAGGTGATATTAGAATTTTAAGACCTGAAATCTCTTTATAGCATTTTTGGGAGTGATTCTCATTTGATAAAATTAAGCAACTTTCCAAAGTATCAAAGGGCTTGGAGTAGATGAACTGTTTCCTCTGAATCAGGTTTAGAAAATGATGAATGATGAAACACCATGGCTCTTGAATAGAAATGTAATGTTTCCCCATAAAGAGATATTTGAGAGCAAAGTCAGCCCCATATAGAAGCCACAACATAAAGAAGAAATCCAAGCATGTCCTCTTGGTACAGAAGACCCTTAGAAAGGTAAGAAAATTATAGTGATTATAGAATTATGTTATTTAGAGTTGCCTATGTGCAAGGCTATTTTATGAACTCTGGACTGGTGGGTGTTTACCTAAGACATGGGGTTTGAAAACAGTGTAAAGTGGCACTTTCTTGCCATCTATGAACCTTATGGCTTGAGTCTAAGACACCAACCACTTGAATGATACCTAATTCTGATCCAATATCATACTCTTTTTAAATCCTATCAGTGGTTTCACTTCAAGTGAGAATAGAAGGATATAAAACTATTTTTCCAAGGAAAGTTTATGCAAGGGACTAATATGTAAAACAGATACTTAGTGGAGAGCTATTGTGGTTGATAAGAAGATAAAGAACAAGTCTTTTTAAATTTATCCCACCCCCCAAAAAACAGACATTATGTTCTATACTCAATTGTCTTCTTGAATCTTTGTGATGAGAAAACATCTATTTTGAGTTGCTGCCTAGGCATTTTATACTACAGCAACCCTGCTCATACCCAGAATCTGGACATTTAAATTTATTCATTTATTTTGAGAGTTGGGGGAGGGGGATGGACAGAGAGAGAGAATCCCAAGTATGCTCCATGCTGTCAGCCTGGAGCCTGACACAGGATCAATCTCACAAACCATGAGATCATGACCTGATCCAAAATCAAGAGTCAGACGCTTAACTGACTGAGCCATCTAGGCACCCCAAGTCTGGATATTTAGATAAGGACCCAAGCTTAGGATTTCTACCAGAAGTTCCTGCTTTGCTTTTCCCACAGCATCTTTTCAAATAACCACTTAGAATTGACCCCACAAAAAGTTAGTGATCTCCATCCCAACCACCTCATAAGTAACAAGTACTTGTGACCTTGCTTTTTATCTCCTGCTAGCTTGTGACCTAGGATGGAGGACTGACATTCCCCCAGCTCATTCTACTTCCCTGTTCTGGGATTTGTAAGTAAATTAATCTTGTGACTTTATTTCTTTTGTGTGAACGTATTAAAACTGCACTTGCAAATCAAAACAACCCCAGGGTTTTCACTTTTGCAAAATAGAAGCTTGTATGCTGAGGGAGCTACCTGTTGACCTTGTGTGGGTGGTTCATGCCTCTTCGTTTATCAGGTCATAATCCACATATTCTTTTTATTTTTTTTAATTTGTTTAGTGTTTATTTACTTTAAGACAGAGAGAGAGAGACAGAACATAAGTGGAGGAGGGGCAGAGAGGGATGGAGACACAGTATCCGAAGCAGGCTCCAGGCTCCGAGCTGTCAGCACATAGCCCGACGTGGGGCTCGAACTCATGACTCACAAGATCATGACCTGAGTCATGATACTTAACCAACTGAACCACCCAGGCACCCCTGCATATTCTTAATTTAATACACCAACTATGGGTCTCCTTCAACAGAATCTGGTACAGGCATAGAAAACTATGATATGGAAAAGATGAACTTCTGACATGAAGAAATGTCCACATTACAGATAGAAATAGTCATAACATTAGATTGTGTCATAAAAAAATGCCAATATTTGACAATGTTTGCTTTACAAAAACAGCAATTTTTTATGTTCAATTTAGTATATGGGCTGTGACATTCATGATTTATTAACTGTACAAGAGTTGATGGTCACTTTACAGAAATGAACAGAAACCATACATTTCAGAAAACCGTAGCATATAAGTAAGAAATTATGGTGCATGAACCGATAATTCTGGGGCATGAGAAACATCTATAGTAGGAACAGTATTATATATGCTTGAACATCTACAGTTTTTTAGCATAATCTAATGTTGTATGATTACATGATAAATGTTAATGCTCAAATAATCATGATACAAAATTAACAATTGCTGTACAGGAACAAAGAGACTTGGTATCGTATATGAATGCCAAATTGCAAAAATAATCCACGGAATATGTGACAGAACTATGATGGATGCTCAGAAAACATAAGTACATGAGCAATAATCCTGAGTATATGACAAGACAGCCATGCTGCATGAGCAAGGAGACTCAGTATGTGTGTTTCAACTACACTATCCTACTATATACTATGGGTTATGATTATGGTAGACAAGCATTTATTTTTAGTTCTCACACTATGAATAGATGCCAGGGATGCAGAAGCAAATGCCCATGATTTAGAAGCAGAAAACTATGATATATCATATGATGCATAAAAGACAATTTTATATGAACTCGGACTAAGGTACATGTTCAGATAACTATGAGAAGATAGCCATCACCTATAGAAGAGATTAGACATAATATGTGTCCTCCAACTACCATAACATTTTGTTAATAAACATTATTATTATAATTCATGTGAATACATTTGTGCATAAAACCATTTGACCATAGTATGTGTCAGAAAACCATAGCACATGAGCCTAATAATCACTGAACAAGAGAACGGGGCCTTCATAAACACTTCCTTAAGACATTATACATGATCAAAAGCATGCCACTGGACTATTTCACAACAATGTGAATATAGTTAACACTAATAAACTGTACATTTAAAAGTGGTTAAGATTTGTGGCACCTGGGTGGCTCAGTTGGTTAAGTGTCCGACTTCAGCTCAGGTAATGATCTCATGGTTCATGAGTTTGAGTCCAGTGTCGGGCTCTATGCTGACAGCTCAGAGCCTGGAGACTGCTTCTAATTCTGTGTCTCCCTCTCTCTCTCTCTGCCCCTTCCTCACTCAGGCTCTCTCTCTCTCTCTGTCTCCCAAAAATAAATAAACATTAAAAAATTAAATAAAAATAAAAAATAAAAATGGTTAAGATTTGTTATGTGTTTTTTTACCACAATTAATTTTAATTAAAAAAAATGCTACTGGAACAGGTAGCCTTAGAAAGTTATCAAATATGTACACAACCAGCCCCAGCCCTTGTATTTATATAGAAAAATGTGGCACATTAGCAGATATTAACATTAAATGAACATACATCCATGACACATGCTCAGATGACCATCAAACAAACACAAACAAGGACTGTAGGACATCAGACCCTTAAACTTCTTATGACAAGCTTGGTGAATTTTCAAGTGACCATGGTGCATAAACTAAAAACTGTAACACTTAAAGAGCCTTCAGCTACAGCCTTTAGCTGGAGACAACTAAAGTATACCTAGATAACCATGATGTGTGTGAAGAGGTATTTTGTATAACAGTTCTTAACCATGATGTGTGCATACACAATCTGTGTATCATAGCAACCATGATCAGGAATTAAGTGACATGGTTTAGGAGCAGATGGCCATGCTAGGTAAGTGGACTGCATGGTGCAGAACAGAAGGCTATGATGCAAAAGTAAACAGACATGCTCAATTTTTTTTTCACTAGAGTCAAGGGCTAAGACACAGATGCAAGTGGCCACAATGAAGAACTGACATTTTTAGTTATCATGATCAATAGTGAATAAATAGCTATTTATAGCATATGAACAAAGAAATATAGCATATACAACCATAGTGAATAAAGTGAAAATTACAGCAAGGAAACATCACATAATAACATGGCTATTTAAACCACTATGCTGCATGAACAGAGTGTAAACCTAATACTAGTTTTAAAGTTAGTGTAAAGAAGCCAGGCCACATTGCAAAAGTACACAACCATGATGTATGCTTATATAAGTACAGCACATGGATAAACACCAATGACCTATGAACTTACAACCAATGAGCAGATTCAGATAACCATGGGCTTAATAGCAGATGCCTGTAATAGGAGCAGACTGACTATGAAATAGGAGGGACAACCTGTGTGCAGGCTAAGATAATCTTGGTGTTAGAATGAGTTGTCTGTGGTACATGAACACACAATTTTGACACATGCTTAAGGCACCATAATATGTGATTGTACAGCCAAAATAGCAAACGGTTACTGAACCAATTGAGTCTGCTCAAGAGCTAAAGAGTACAAGTAACAAATCAGAGAGAAATACTATCTATAAGGTGATGACTTGTAAATTAATATCTCTATATCTGATATCTCTGCAATCCACATCTGTACTAAGATTACTGAGAAGTATATTAAGCCTAACATGTTAAAATCTGAGGTCCAGATATTCATTTGCCTCCACACACAAAGTCCCCCTATAGTCTTTGCCATCTCAGGTAATGGTAATTCTACCCTTCCATTTGCCCAGAGTAAAAACTCTGATGTCATCTTGACTCCTCTTGTGTCATACTCCACATCCAATCCATCAGAAAATCTCATTGGCATTCTACTTAAAAAGAAACATATCCAGAATAAAACCACTGGCTGTCACCTCTGCTGCTATGACTCTGGCTCATTATATGATTGTAAA